TTATTTAGTATTGTTTGCAATGCCACGGGGTCAGATCCTAGAAGAGCTATGTCGTCTGCGTACTCGATGTCTGTGAGCGGAGGCCCAGGGAGCACTTCGACCCCACAGGCATTAGAGGCTGGTAGTGAGTCTTCCATGATCGTATCAATGACGAAGTTGAAGAGGGAAGGTGAAAGATGACAACCCTGTTGGACGCCACTGGATGTGGTGAACTCAGGAGAAAGCTTCCCGTAGATCTTTACACGGCCGCGGGAGTTGGCGTACAGCGCCCTAATGAGACTCGCCTTACACCCTGTTGAATCTCTCGTCTATGACCATCTTCTCACGAGTAGTGTGTTACGTCTATACAACTGCACGGAGTGTTTTCGGAAAGAAATCTACTGGAGGATGACTGTTTGTGATGTCTTGTGCGACAGCAGCGTCCTATAAAAAGCGAGAGAGGGAGATTTTTACAACCCTGCCAGTTCACGTACAGTCTCGGTGACACATCGACGGAGCAGACGGCTGCCATTCCTAAGGAATCGCGGAACACAGTGAAATACCTCATATGCTTCAAGAGACGAAAGTCAACTAATGGCCAGTCCACAACCCGTAACCAACCGTTGTCGACATTTGCTGGTCAATCATCCACTGTCTGGAGGCGCAATCAAGCAACGCCCGTATCCAGCGAGGCACAGTTGAGTAAGGTGAAATAGCCGGTTTAGCGCGAAAATGGAACTGGCCCACCCACTTAACCTTCACTGACGGCACAGTTGAGTAAGGTGAAATAGCCGGTTTAGCGCGAAAATGGAACTGGCCCACCCACTTAACCCTTCACTGACGATGTCACCTCGATTGGTGATGAAACATTTGCAATCCAACTACCAAGCTCGATGAACAGACCAACAACCAAGCAGCGCACCCGAGTTACCTACATTCCACAACATTGCCGGAAAATCTATCTTGGCATATATCTCCAACTGTGAACGTCTTCATATTTTTCAAAAGGTTGTTGCCATGTGAGGAACCCATAGATGCGCTTTGTCTGGATGACTAGTGAAAGTAAAATACATATTGAATCTTATCAATTATTTCTCCTCTCGATCAGTTTTGTGTTCCGACGGGCTTCAAAAAAACATGCGCTTAAGAGGCTGTGGTGTGTCTGAGACAGGATTTCATGGCTTCACTTTAGACAAGCGTCGTTACTGCTCGTCAGTAAATAAATAGACAGAGAAAGCGGTGTGCCTACGAGCAATTGACACACATAAGTCGACCGAACGCTTCATGGGGATCAATATTGTCACTTTCCAATGGTTTGAAATAAGGTTGACGGGTGCTCTCTGCTCTCTGTTCAAATTCTTCCATAAATATATTTGCCAAAACCGGGGATATTGGAGATCCCATTGCTAGACCTTGTTCTTGAGTATAAACCACTGAGTCAAAGACGAAGTGGTTGAGATTCAGACATGTTTTTATGCCTTCCACTATTTCATCTACCGTAAGCTGTCCTTTCGGAAAGGGTAGCGTTCGCTAACAGCAGTCGCTTGGCTATTTCTAAAGAAGCCCCTTTTGGCACATTTGTATATAACGAATTCACATCGAAACTTACAAGGATGTCAGCTGGTTCAACAGTGACACCCGCTACTTTGTTGGCGAAGTCATATGAATTTTTAGTGTAAGTACTAGATTTCCCGGTGAGGGGCTTTAAAATAACGGCCAAGAGTCTGGCCAGTTCATGCGGTGGGGAACCTATTCCGTCTACTATCGGTTTCACCGGAACCTCTGGTTTATGGATTTTTGGGAGGCCATAAAGTCGTGGTTGGATTGCACTTTTCGGATACAATCGATACCAGTTACGTTGCCCTAAGTGGTTTATCACGGACCGCAAATATCTCCCAACTTCGGCTTTACTCCTATTCATTATAGACGTACTATTCGCATTGTTGATCTCCCAGTAAGGACCCCCAGCTAGGTGATGTTTAACCTTCTGTAAATAATCACTCTTGTTCATAACAACAGTGACCTTACCCTTATCTGCCTTTGTAATCACTACATTGCCACCCGTTTTAGGGTGTTTAAAGGTCTTCGCTCTGCCAGTGTAATATTTGGCGCTCCTGGCTGCTGGGACTTAAGGACTGTGATTAGCTGTACCCGTAGCCTCTCTGCCTCCATTACGGAAGTTTTTGAAACACAGATTCAACATTAGGGATTATTTCTTCCGCCTTATCACCCTTTTGCTCACTGCAAAATTCAGGCCTTTCTCTAGCAGAGTGCGCTCTTCCTCACTTAATGGTCTATTTGATAAATTTACCACGCTACAATAGCTAGTAGGTGGTTCAGGCTTAGTCATGGGCCCCCTTGAAATCTGAGTCTTAGAAAGCAACTTCTCGAACTTACGTATTTGGCTCTCTTTGCAATGTTGTCCTTGGATAGCTTTCACTTCTGTCGCTTTGGTTTGAAGCAACTGGAAGTCTGCGGGAGACAGCACGGTCTAGAGGTCGCAGTTTTGAACTACTCATCAGCCCATCCAAAGTCGGTGTTCGCCAGTATTGCCTCATCAATGTTTAGGTGTGTAAGGGCCCTGTGCACAGAAGCTGATCGGACAGCGGCCCAAACTGAGGTAAAGAACAAACTTCGGAGTAGTGGATATCCAGCCAGTTTGATTAGGCGTCAATTGCGAAGGATGTTGGTACCGGTAGCAAAGCCCACCAGGAAATGGATCGGGACAGCTGTTATTCATATAAACGAGGGACATCGGAGGTAATTCGAAGAATCCTAAGCACGGCCAACATTAGAGTAGCTTTCCAGAGGGGGAACACTTTGCGGTCGGCACTGGCGCAATTGAAGGATCGCCTCCCGGCAAACAGAACCAGGGACTATGTCTACAAAATCAAGTGTAATGACTGCACCAAGGTCTATGTAGGACAGACGGCCAGGGAACTACACATCAGAGTCGGAGAGCATAGTAGAAAAATAAACAGGCCGCCGAGAAACGCAGATGAAAGACTCGGCGATTGCGGAACACGCACTCGACACGGGACACAAAGGAGATTTAGAAAATGTTGAGATTTTGAGGCGAGGACTACAGTCCACGTCACACAGACTGTTAGCCGAGGCGGTAGAAATCGCCAAGGATCCCAGCGTTAACAGAATGGAAGGCGCGGAACTGGCTAGCGTGTGGAGAACGGTCTTGGGTCGCTCGAGCTGACACGCGTTGGTGTGCGGTTATCATCTGAAATCCACTTGACCTCAACCCAACTCAAACTAACTTGTCGGAGCACTCACAACCCCACAAAGACCAGTGAAAATCTTACAGCGGCACCCGAGGTGAATCATCACGTGAAGCACCCTGAATTGGAAGATTAAGGAACGAAAAGCGATCAGAACTAATTTGGAACCCCTCCAACCCATCAATTCAAGATTTTGGCACCCACACTAGCCGACAAGAGCCGTTAATTGACACTCAACACTGATCTAGTTCAAAGAGGACTTACTGATTGGTTCCCCGTCTGTCTTATGACCTGGCCAGTTTGGTGACCTGTTCACTTGGCCTGATGAAGCTTATGTGTCAAAAGCGAAACGTTGCCCAAATAAAAAACGCCGATTGTTTACCAAGCTCTTCTGAAAAGATTGCGCGTACGTTTTTCAGCCGGATAACTAAGGTCTATTTGGTCATTCAAGAACAAGCCCCGATAAATGTTGCCGGACATTGTCGGCCACACATAAACTCGAGTTATGGTGAATCAAGGCGTCGAATTCGTGCTACGAGCGATACAGCTTGCCAGACAAACTTTCTGTACAGCTCATCCTGACATACTAACGAATGCATTAAGGTGAGCGGGATTTGAGTCACATCAGGGCATGGCAACAACGACCAGAGACCATCAACAAAGAGCAACACGTGGAAAACTGCACCTAACGAAACCAAGCGGACCAGGAGAACCGTCTGTTGATTTCAGTACTGGGTGAAAACACGTTTTGCATGTTTCGAGCTCGAGATCGCTCATTCATTAAGGATCGAATGGAAGGTCTGTGGTTCGAACCCAACGTCGGCATCTTCAGTACACCTGTCTACGCTTGGACAAACTCACAGTAATCTTAGCCCTCGTGCTTCCTTTGTGCGATGTGGCAGTTAGGCACCGAAAAAAGCGCTGCAGCTGGTAAATTATTTTTTACCATTTTTTGAAGAAACACAGTTCTATTGACAGAGGGGACGATAAAACATCCTTTTCACTTGAATACAGCATAGTATCTGAGAGGCTCACTGAACACATCACCGAACCGAACTGCAAATTCGGTCTTGATAAACCAGTTGAAAATCTGACGTTTTTGTGCGGAAGTAATGCTGTCTCTTACGTTCTTAGTGAACGGTTGATTCGTCGAGAGTTCGCCATATGTATGAGGATATACGAATAATAAGTGTTCATGGAGAAGGTTTGATCGTCCCAATTTCGCCGTGCTTTACGACTGGATTGAATTTGAAGTGGATTGTACGGCAAATGCATTCGGGGAACTACGTTATAGAATCCATAGAAATTACGAAACAAGTAAGATGATTCCACTAGAGCGTCTATTTGATAACATACAGCAGCAAACAAGCTCAGTACATCACGGCAGTACGTGCCTGACAGACCCCGAATAGATTTGTCCACTTCTACGGCTTGATGTAACAAAATGTGTCAACATAAGTCGGGCACTTGTGTCCTGCGTAAAGGTATCCCATTGGCGTTAGTTATATAATGAATTGTTACTCGGTATGCAGAAAATCCATTGTGTTTGAGGTACTGCATGTCCGCGTTGCGCGACGACGTACGTCGATTCCAATAGCTGACTGACTAGTGAGCATTAACACCTGAACAATAAGTGGATCAGAGATTACAGTACAGCAATATCATAACCAATGAATAAAAAAGCGTTCAGCTGTGACACTTTTTCGGTGCGTTGCTGCTATTCCACCAGAAGGAATCACTAGAGCTGGTTGACACTGCCAGGTTACCCAAGCCTAGACAGGGGAAGTCACCAGTAACAGGTCGGGTTCGAAACATGGACATTCCGGTTAGCCAAATCGCGCTCTAAGCACTGAGCCAAATGTCTATTCGAGATTGAAACACCATCAGTTTCTACGGTACATGGGATAGCCAGCTAATTCAGTCGAGCCAACAGTCCAGTTACGAAAGTCTTTGTTCATTGGGTCGTGGTTTTGACAGGTTTTAGTGGGGTTTGATTAACGGGAGCAGATGGGATGACAGAAAACTGACTACGCTTTCAGCCTAGCGGGTTTAACTCAGGGATAGCACGACCAGCTGGTTTCTACAGAAAGAAAGCAGGTGTCATAGTACGATGAAAAGCAATAAAAACCAGGTATTCGTTTCCGGATTCGTTTGTCGGGTCTACACTATACCGAATGGCACGATTCGAGCAGTTAGTTACACGCCACTTTCAGTTATGTGTGCTAGACAGCAAGAGAGCACCTTAGTCAGCTTAAAGTTTGCAGTAATAGATTGGGGAATGGGGGTAAAAATGTGACAATTCTGCAGCTAACCATATGGGCGACCGATATTCCATTGGAACACAATATGGTTCAGGAAAGTAATTGCTTGCAGAGCAGTGTGAACACTGGATGGGCCAGTGACCCGCATCAATTCCAGAATAACTGGGGTGACTGGAGTGGTCTAACTCACAACAAGATCTCAAGGCGATTGCAGAGCAGTACACTCGATATGTATGACTTACCTACTACCACGCTATATGAGCGGGTTCATAAACTTTCGGATGCGAAACCGTTAGGCGCAACAACAAAAAGTAGCCAACTTGTTGGCTACTCAATTGAACACAACCTGTATTACGTTCAGCGGGCCAGTCTACAGACGAGAACAACCTAAGCATCCAGAAATCGTCACTCGAGGAGCCATTCAATACGTGATGTGGTTTTCCTGATTGAAGAAAGGGCGGCGCTATATCCTGTCTAAGTGCGAGTTAATCACACTGCTGATGAGCCACTCGTGGCCGAACGGTCAAGTGTTCAAGCTACTAGCCGGGAGGTCGCGGGTTCCCGACTCTTCGGAGTTTCGTGAGATGCGCACTGCTGATGATTCCCAATAAGGATGAAACAGCTGTACAGTGCTTCTCGGCTTTTCAGCATAGATTGGCTTCACTTACAGGACGAAATCCCACAAAAATCCCAAATCTCCTCACACTACCAACAGTAGCCAACTTGTTGGCTACTCAATTGAACACAACCTGTATTACGTTCAGCGGGCCAGTCTACAGACGAGAACAACAACACTAAGCATCCACAAGCTCTGGGTAACCAATGCTGTGCAGGTATGCAGGTCCACAATTAACAGTTTCCGTTTGCGCTTGGTTGTTGAAGGGATTAGCACAGGCCAAACTACCGAATTTTTGATATCCAAATGGCCATAGATCAGTGGAATCGTGGCAAAACGTTCCCCGGATTTAAAGAACATCTATTCGGAAGAGCTTTGGAGGTTAGCACTATTCAGTCCTATCCATTGGCAATCAGCAACTAGCTCAAGGACCACTTGAGTAACATGAAAGGTGGCAATACTTTCTAGTTAGACCGGCTTATCGACCACGGTGTCATAGAGAACGGTGTATATCTAGCACAGTTGCCAGTGCAATCAGAAGAAATGAATTTACGCCCATTGTTGACAACCGAGTGAAGAAGAGAAGTGCTTCAGGTAAATCTCTGTGTCATATTGAACAAATATAAACGCTTGATGTTTGTGGGAAATGTTTGTAGTCAGAAAAAATGGCGGAGTGCTTTCACAGTTTCCGCTTTCCCCCTCTGAAAGAGAGTAAAGTGGGTGCGTAAAAAAGTGTCTGACAGAGAGAGACAAGAATATCGTTCAGGCGTAGTCAGTACACTGTGGTGTACACATATAGTACACTATATATGTACTATACTGTACTACAGAGTGGTACAATATTGTGTACTCCAGTTCAGTAGCCAAAGACGGATGTCTATATTCGATTTTAGGTTAAGATAGCGCCTACATTACACAGTAACGAAAATCATATACATAACAGATGACACGTTTGAATATATACGTCCCCTTCTGGAGAGACCAATTAGGTTTGAAGCCTTGAAAATGTTCCCAGTAGTTAAGCCACCATCCTCAGAAAAGACCAGCACCGGTCGGTCCATTCAGGCGGTGTCTTTCGATGGGAACAGTTGTATGTACACAGACACTGCACCGTTGAAATCTGCCATAATTGTGGTGGGATGCACTTGCGTACCCTGTTAGATTTCTCTCAACAGGCGACCACATTACTACAGATATTATAAGCACGACTTCAAGCAGTCATGTTGCAAAGAGCAAGAAGCACAAGCATTAACAGGAAAGCTGACCAAGGTCATCCAGCCTTTCGGCATGTGCTTCGCACCCAAAAAGTGCAGTGACGTTGCGGGACTTAGTATTTGAGCATGTTTTTAAGAATTCACGGGGCGACACTGTAAGCTTTGGAACAGTATACGCGTCCCGGCATTAGCCCAAAGAGTAATGTGACAGACGGAGCCAACGGACGAATCTCAAAGATCAGAGCAGTTTGTAGCGCCAATAACCCATGTCGCTGTTTCTCAGAGGATGCGTGTACCAGACCAGAAGGTGCGTTGTATTGTTGTAAGACTGCGAGACTTGGCCACTTCGGAGGCAACGTGTGAAACATCTCCAGGTGTTTACCACCGATGCTTCAGAACTGTAGCCAGAGTCAACTAGAACCCGCGAATTCGGGAGGCGATCAGAAGACATTCTTAAGCAGAAAGCTGTTCACTCAAAGAATGCATCCGGCACTGCAAGCTAGAGTGGCTGTACCATGTGTTACGCATGTCGAGTTGCAATCGAGCGAGGAAAGCGTTGTTTTCCATGCTTCATTCGTACCGGCGGAAATCTGGCTTGAAATGACAAAAGAGAATGGAAGAAGTTACGAGAAGTTTGGGTGTTGCTCACCTTCCAGGATGGAGTCCACATGACCTTCCGTGTTCCTGACTGAAGACACTTAACGTTACGGTTCAGTGACGTTCGTGATATAAGTTTCTATCCCGATTAACTGACTGGATGTTAGAGGTGTAGGATGCATCCAACCTAAAATGTAGGTCCCCCTCCCAGTGCCAGTTTTCTTCTTCCAATCGTAAGGTCATATTCAAACAAATTGAATAAATTAAATTAAATAAATAAATAAATAATAAATAAAGGCAGTGAGAGTCAGTGTTTTATGGTGTTACTGTCCATGATGATGATGATGACGCACAGAGCGGTATTGCGCTGTCGACAATGTATGTATGTATGCACAACTGATGGAAAACTCTCAGTAATTTCAGCTGGGGTTCCATCTTGAATTTGAGCTCACTCTATAATAGGAAACCGAGAAGCACGGTACCACCGTGGTATCCATATTCGGAATCAACTACGGTGCGCCTGTAAATGACCGAGGCCGAGACCGAGACCTCCTCGTTACCAGTTGATCACTACTCAGTCCGACTGCCAGTCCCATGTGTAACCAACTTATGCTTAGACAGAGCGCAGCACGGCCATGTATCAATCACACGATTTGCTTCACAAAACCGGCGTTGACTGGCTTATCTAGTGACGACAGGCAGAACTGTGACGGTAATAGAACTGACGGTTTTCCGGTCTATGATGCGGTGGTAGCGAAGACGGAGCAAAAAGATGACTTGGCTCTGCTAAACGCATGGACTGTGACACAGCTGCTACCTGATACGACTGGGTATGACGGTCATGAATGAATTTTGTGCCCCACCCCCCACCCCGATTCCGTAAGTGAGTAGCATGCTATACAACCACATATTGTGTGGATCCTGTTGTCCAGTGCATTGGGAAACAATATCAATGTGGGTACCGTTCTGAGTTTCCATGATTACTGTCTTTGGTTTCCCCCAATTATACTTCATCCCGATTTTACTATGATTCCGAAGGAGTTATTATGTTTGTTAGCACAAAGGAGACGTTCAAGCAGTGTCGTAAAACCTACGTGTCAATTCAGACATGCAAAATTCACAATTTCCACAGAACAGTGACGTGATACCTGATGATCGCATATGCGTACAAATTTATAAATATTCAAATTTCTTAGGCAAAAAGGTCTAGTATGATGGTGCCGACACTGATACTAACCAATCATTATGTGGTAAATCCTCGTCCTGGTGTTTAGCATTCACGCTCATTTCTTCAATGTCTTTGAGATACACCTATACCAATCCCACTAGTTTATTCAATCCGAAGCTACAAATTCCGGACAATAGCCCAAGAAGACTACCCCTCACCCTGCGCAGTGAATTATTCTCGTTGTTCCTGCGTTAAGTAAAATAGTGGTCTTGAGAAAACAACGAACTGCTACTACCGATCCGATGAGCAGCCCGGTGAGGAACACAATAACGCGAGCAGGCTAAAAGGTTTAGGTAAGTACCAGTGCACATCAACCGAAGCAACCTGACGGACGACATAAAAGGCATACTAGTTTGCTAGTCAAACGAATCACTTACTTGTGGAAAGGACTAGATCGCATGCGTGCAGCAAAATCAATCTGAAGAAAAAGGATTTAAAAGCCGACTGAGGACAAGAGGGTTTATACAACACAGTGGGGGTTGAGCTACATAGTAATGATCATAAAATCAAGAGGAAATTATAGCAGAAGTCTGTTAATGCACACTGCAAAAGGCATCAGTGATGATGGTGAACATACAATAAAATCAATTTTTTCCAACACATAAGACAGAACAGTGGTGCAACAGTAGCACTCCGAGTAGGCTTAGTAACCGTCATTATGTTCCCCACAGATGGCAACTACTTCGAAGACCACCGCAAAACATAAATGGCAAACACAAAACTACCGGAAATTTCAAATTTGCTGATTTATTCACAGTGGTGCCTCGGAGGAAGGGATAAAATACCTGCTCAACCGAGCATTGATGATGTTCCGTCGAACGATAACAAAAGATTCTTAAAACAACTGTCACACTGGCTGGACATAGTACCGATAAAAGAGAGGCGACTCTATTCCGAACTCAGATTTTTCTTCCATGTGCAGTGTTACACGACATAAAAATCAGTCAGTGTGTCAACTCAGAAAGGAACAAGAACTCTGGCTCATTGAAGAAAATTATGGTCAAATTAAGGATGTTTCCGACATCAGCCTTCAGTAGGAAGTTAGTTTTATCCAACCTAATCAGATATCTCCAACAGAGGGGACAAGGTAGCGAGGGGAAGCCTCAATAGCTCTGAATGGTACTTGATTCCAACAAATCTACTTTCAAAGTTCACTAAGAAAACGAAGGGTGATGGGTGAGCAAACTGTGGATTACTCTGCCATCGAAGTTGCGTCGACTGATAACAATCCAAAGATAAGTAGCAAGAACTACAACTCAGGCAATTTAGTGAGCTCCTGCGTAAACAAGGAAATACAGCGTCACTAATGATGACATTTTGACGATGTGAACGGATATTATAACTCGGCGCGAGTGCAGGAGCGAGGCCGAGCATAAGAACAGCATGACATTTAAGTGGTAATAGGTCAAGTACAAGTGACTTACAGCTTGAGCCCAACCAGCCCAATTTCCCCAGAGTGCGCTTAGGGCGAACGAGATATCCAAGTACGCTCGAGGAGTTAAACTTCGCGTTTTATCAGCCGCACCAGTCAGCTTGCGTTCTTGGGCTGCTCGTAAGATATGAATATCCACAGGAACTACGTCCACTTTGTCCAAAGAACACAAACAAATGCAATCAGCAACCTAGTAGAAAGAACACATAAAAGGGAATTCCAAAGCAAAATCAAGAATCGAAAATCACATCACGAAGTAAAATGAATTAGGAAAAGATAGACAAACAATGATAATCGGTTTGATGTGCTTCATTATCATCAGGATTGGCAGCATAACAAGTGTTCAAAACTGATGCTTCGCCGGTGTACAATCAAGATGTACTTAGAAATACTGTTGTAAAGAAAGGAACACAAACGGATGGGGAAGAGACTTAGTGCTAGCCCATCACAATCCTTCCGAGGTGCCCACATTACCGGACACTCATTCAAGCAATCTGGATACAAATTGACAACAAGAACGCCATTGACATCGACTAGCAGCCACATCTTGCAGCGTCGCTAACCCGGCACAGTGATCATCACACGGTCCCCATCCGCGAAGGCAAGTAATACCGACAAGATCCGGACGTTTCGTGATCTCTTTCATACCCTCTGCTAGGTCAAGGGTTGACCACCTCTCTGCTTCCGCTACTCTGAATGGGACACGGAAACGGGCCGGCAAACGAAGGTTCGGCATACGCATTACATAGCTTAACCAACGCAGCCTCTGGTGCAGGACACAACCTTCGATACAAGTCACCATTGCACAAGCAAGCGCATGCTTTCTAATAGCCTCACTACGGATAAACTTATGTCAACCAACACGAGTTATGGTTCCGAGACAACCGCTGTTGAAGACCTGAAGGGGTCTCAGTTCCGTTGGTCGAACAGGACAGGTTTCACAACCGGACAACAAAACAGCCGGTACTGTAGCCTTATACACAGGTCACGTGAGACTCAGAGATATACCGCTTTGAAGCCATAGGTGTCTCAAATTGTCATAAGTGACCCGAGCATTGCAGATCCGTGCATTGACTTCATCTGTCACACTACAACCGCAGATAATACAACGTCCGAGATAGGTAAAAAGCTCCACAACCTCGGGCACCTCTCCCCTACCCAGCAACACGATCTGACACTGGGCAATTCGTATAAAATACAGTGCCCAATAATGCCCTGAATTGAGACTCAGGGACGGGACATACCTGCGGTTAGGAACCTTATCAGTGCAGTCATGGATACATCCAAACTGTTACCTTTAATGCATGCATGATCCACTGTATTGGCGCAGCAATTATGTCAGCTACTGCCTCTAACCTGTAGCTTTCTGCGTCTGCCTCCTCAGATCATCGATGAACGGATGTGGCAGTAACAAACACTATGCTTTTAAAGGTGATGATGACCCAATAATGCGAAAATAGCCCGACACTGATCTAGAAGTTACTGTCCCAAAATGCCTGGAAAATCTGTCCAAAAGCGCCGGGTAGACTACACAGTTGTAAACTACATCTAAAGATTCCGTAGAAGCTCGCTTGGATTTCTAATTAAAACCAAGCCAGTCTTCGGATCACTTTATTCCGCGAATTACAAAGCCTCATCGAGATGATGGAATTTGCCTACTTCACGAAGACACCGCGGAGTGGTAGCCTTTACCGACTATTCCCAACAAGATGGATCAGGCACAATGCATATCGCGGTGTCCCCCTCACCGGTTACCCGATATTCATGGGGGAGCCGTCATGCAAAGTTGGAGGCTGAGAAGCTTTTGTCACGGAAAATGCCTCTTCTGATGGGAAAAGTATTGCTAGTTCCTAAAATGCACATAAAGGGAAACGCATGGGTGCCCCCAAGAGCGGAACTTTTGCCGATGACCCAGAAATGTTGGATTGGTCGTTAACTACTTATAAAGAATGCTGGATTCAATGAACTCATTGTAAACTGGCCTATGCGGATATGATTATCAAGGTTAAGAGCTTGAAAACGGTTCGATGTAAGCACATTATGAACCACAAGCCAGGAGTTTTGAAATTCCTGCACACAGCTGTTCGAAGCGTTTCTATGACTGTTGTATTGTTTATCTACCGCATCACGGTCACTAAGATAGAACAAATAACTTATTACGTTATCATGCTATTATAGTGGTCAGCATAACTGGCATAACTGAGGAGACGGAAATGAATATTCATCGTGTAGTCACCATGACAGACTTCATGGTCTATTACGATATCACGTCACGTTACTGTCCCAACGATCAGTACATACATGGCGTATCAAAAGAAACTAAGCGTCGTGGTTAGCGAAAGAGGATAACTGGCTGAGTATGACATCAAGCTTCAATAGCGTATAGAGCTAGGACGACACAAAAGACATTTGCCGTATCACGTCATGTCCTCGTTGTTGACGACGGTAGCAATTGGTGAAATATTGGAGTCTCATTGGTTGTCGTGCTGAAAAGTCGATAGAGAACGACCCGATCAAAGGTCACAGCATCCCTCTTACACAACTATCTTAGCACTAGCTCATCCACACAGACGGACAGCAGGTTCAAACGACGTTCAAGAGGGACCATCAAATGAACCCTAGGCTGGACCCAAACACATGTAGGTTTCCCCACTAACCCAACACTTGTTCAACCACTCTAACACACAAAAATCCCTCGTCCGACACCCAGCAGAGATTTAGCTTGACTGAGCTGATTGGTTCTCCTTCCGTCTTAAATCTCGACCAACCTCGGAACCTAGTCACTGGGCCTGACGAAGCTTTTGTGTCAAAAGCGAAACATTGCTCAGTAATAAATCTACCGATTACCACCGAAATTTCCCGAAAAAACGACCCATGCTATTCTTTAGTGGTGGAGACACGCTTGAAAAAATACTACTGTAAAAGCCAGACCAAGAAGGATGCCGTTTTAAAAGCACTTTTAGTTCTATGATTTTTAACAGATGTCTTTGTGGGACTTGAAACGGCTACTTCCGTCGTTTTTAGATGTCTCGAATCAGGAGAAACCGCAGTAATTCGGATATTGCTCTTCCTTCTAATTGCAAGCTGACCCTATGCCGAAAGTGCTTTAAAGCTGAACCACTTCGGCTTTAATTTCATCTCGACGCTCTCGGTCTAGGTTAAACCAAAAAGTGACCGTTGATTCGTTCGTTCAGTTGGTCAACGAACCGACCACCGATCATCAGTACAACCTACATTCCAATATCCAGACCGGAGTGGTTTTTAATCGCAACATACGTTGCCACTTTTCGCAGCACCGGATAGATGTCATTGCCCCATCAAATTCACTGACATGAGATGATGGTATGGGGCTGCATTGACCAATGTCGGCGAGCTGAATCACCTCCTCGTGGTGCCGACCGGGTAGCCTGGACGTCAGTCTGGGTGAGCTAAGAGTTCAGCAACTCCAGACAGGGCCAACCACCGCGTTTGGTTTCAACGTGCTGCTTACTTCCGGCAATATATACTACGAATCATCTGGCGCCTCCGC